AAAAACCATTATAAATAGTATACTGGGCCATTTTTAACATATTAGCTATCAAATTGAAGCTCAGGATGTTATATTTCATCATGTCAAATTTCATGACTAAACGAGTTCAGGAGCATAATCAAAAAGTCATGTGAACCAGTCAGTGTCAGTGTGCTTCCAGCACTGTTAGTTTAATATTTACATAACCAAAATGAGCTCACGACTTTTTGTGGCTAAACCCCACAAATTAGCCTTCAATCTACAGCTTTTCCTTAGAGGATTCAGGCCCTAAAATGTTACATTATTTTTGGGGGATGAGATTTTTGAAAATCCCAGTAGCAAATTAACCAACTATAGCACCAAGCAAGCATCATTATTATGCATGATCATATTAGCTACTATTGGTGAACTAACATGCTTATCATTTGGCAAACTCAAACATGCAAAGGCCAAAGCAAGATACTATAAAGAGCAGCCACATAACAATCAACCACAATAATAGTAATTAACCATACAATAATCAACAATGCTAGTTAGTGGTAGTAGCTAGGTTTAACTTACTACCTTGCTCCAAAAGTCTTAGCTTTTCTTCCTTCTCCTCTTTCCCTTGACAAATATCAAACCCTAACCATATAATCCATCAACAAAGGCAGCCATAATCATTATCCAACCATGAAAAAGCAAGAACATACATCAAAATGATTTTTGAACCATAAAGTTCCCTCCTTTGCTCACTATTTTTGAACTTGGTTCTCTTTAACCCTAAAAATCACTCCTTGACTCAACCCTACATGGTTTTTCATGTAGATTTCAAATATATGCTTAGATCTAGGAAAATAAAATTGCTTCTTCCAGCCACACTTTGACTGAACCACTAGAGGGTTTAAACCAAAAATCACAACTTTGCTTTAAAGCTTCCAACACTTGTTCCTTTTAGTTTACCCTACACCATTCCTCATTTTAAGCATCAAGGAAGCCTTAAAACAATGAAAAACTCATCCTAGGGTTCATTTCCTCACTTGGCCGAAATGGAAGCTCAAGAAACAACCATGAAAACTGCTTTAAAACAATTTAAACTCACTTGCAAACACTAGGATCTAGCTTGTGTTGTTGTGTCTTAGCAAGTGTGATGATCAAAACTTCTTTCCCCTTTTTATTAATCAGTTCGGTCCACATTAAGAGAGGGAGGAGACAGATTTTTAACCATAAAAGAGAAAGAAACCAAAGCAAGAACACTTCTAGGACCAAGATCTAACCTTGAAACCAGTGTTTAAATAGCCGGACTGGACCGGACGGTCTGACCGGCTGAACCGCTGACCGGACACTCCTTCGGCTTGGTCCAAGTGAAAAACTCGTTCCAAAGGTTAAACCGGATTTGCCCGGCGTTAGGCCGCTATTAAGCTGTTAACCGTTAAAAACCCGGGAACCGGAGCGGCTAAGTGAAAGCCGTCCGGCCAGAACCAGTCCAAACTTCCACCTCCAGAGTCCACTTGTAACTTCCGTCAAAGAAAATTCAATACCTCAAAACTGGTTTGGAAACGTTGATTACATGTCCCCAGCACCCACTCTTTTCTCTGTCATGGGTATGGAAAAGAGGAGGAGTAGAAGAAGAGTGTAAAGAAGAGAAGGAAGAAGAAGAAGAAAGAAGAGGAGAAGAAGAATGTCTCACGAGATTAGCACTGATTATATCCAAAACTATCATATCAACAACAAAAAAGTCTAAGATGATAGATTGGAGAGGAAAAAAATAACGAGCGTCATCTTTAGCCAGTATGAAGTTCAAAGCATTCTGAAATACCGGAGAAGAAGAAATTTTGACAGCGACACGCTTGAGCTTGAGAAGCTAAAAGAGTTTGAATACCCAGAAAGTTAAAAATTGAAAAGTAAAAGTTGATGTTGCGTTTCAGACATATTACTATCAGACTCTTTAATTTTTATTTTAAAAAAGTAAAAATTGCCTTAATTTTCATTCATCTCCACCGTCTATCAATTTAATCTTGTTTTCTACTATTTTTTTCAGCGGCCAACACATTCCCAATACTGAACACAGAAGACTTGTAATTATAGCACCCTATGTATTAGCTACTAGGGGTGAGTATTCGGTTTTTTGGTTCGGTTATCGGTGATAACCGAACTAACCGAATAACCGAATAGAGTATATTTTAAAAACCGAACCGAAACCGATTAACCGAACTAACCAAAACCGAATTAACCGAAAATTTCGGTTCGGTTAACCGATTAACTGAAATATATAAATATGAAAAATGATTTTAAATTAAAAATAATAATAAAACACAATTACAACTATTAATTAATAAATATTTCATGATTCAATATGATTTATTATAACCATATTTATTGAATATAAATATATTTAAAAAGTTCACATATACCCACATATATATTTATTATAATAATATTTATTAAATAGAAATATATGATATATTTATTTCGGTTATTCGATTATAACCGAAATTTTTTTTACTAACCAAACCGAACACCGAAACCGAATCGTTTAAAAAATAAAAACCGAATATATAACCGAAAATCGAAATAATCGAACCGAAAAACCGAAATTAAATTCGGTTCGGTTCAGTTTTCGGTTACGGTTTGGTTTTGCTCACCCCTACTAGCTACTAGGCATCAAGTGACGTACAGCTAAGGAGCAAAATAATCCCTTATTTTAGATTAAAAAATTGATTCTATGAGTGCCTATATATATACACACATATATACTATCATAAATATTTTTTATATTTGTATGCATATAATATGATATTTAATTTAATTATTACATTACCGGTCTAACCATACGGTCTAACCGATTCAACCGTTTGAGCCGTGACCCGTTAGTCTTTCCGGCTCTATGTCTGGTCCGGCTTTTAAAAAATTGCTTGAAACCTTGGTTGGATGATCAAAGGTGCTTGCTTCTTCTTGTTTTTCTCTCAAACTCTCTTTTTCTCTTATTTTCTCCATCGGACGAAATGAGCATCTGAAAATGGAGAGAGAAGAGCTTGATTAATGCTTCAAAATATCCCAACCACCTTCTTTAATGATAGTCCAAGCGTCATTACCCTACTAAGTCTTGATTCCTCTTTCTTAATTAACATAATTCCAAATGAAATTAATTACTAAAGTCAAGATCCTCTTCATTTATGGAATGACACTTGGCTAATTCAAATCTTCTCCTTCAAGAGCTTGACACATGGCTCAATAGGATCCCTTGGATTTGCAAGACACTAATCTTGCTTTTTCAGTATACTTTAGGCTCTAAGTTTAATTTCTTTTCTATAATTACAGTAGTTTAGCCTCTGTAATTATTTTCTATTAGATCCTTAATTTATTCTCCTCATTATTATCTTCCCAAATTGCCCTCTTTGTCTCAAAATTAATTTCCTAATATTTAAATAAAAAGAAAAATTAATTTCCTTCTCTTTAGGGATTTTTCCACTTTTTATCATTATTTGGAAAAATCTTGGATACTTGAGAATCTTCATTTAATTGCATAATTCCTTATAATTTTTTGGGATCTCATAGGAATTTTCTTGGAATTTTATTCCCCTTAAAAATATTTATTTGGAATTTTCCAAATAAAATCCCTTAATTAGCCTAAATCACCCTTTAATTCTCTCATAATTTCTCTAAGGGTAATTTGGTCATAAAACCAACTTTATAATTTCATATAACTCTCAAAAGATATTATCCTCATTTTTCCTTAATTTTTCAAGGCTCGGAAATATTTTTCTTTATTTACATTTGACCAATTTTCCTTAATTAGTCAATTTCCTATAATTGGCTTGGAAAATTACTGTAATTATTTTCCACCAAAATCCTTTGACTTTTCCTTATCATTTTTAATCCTCAATAATTTGAGAATATTTCTTATCTCTAATTATCATAATGCTGGATGTGACACTAATCCCATATGATAAGAAATTATTCATGCTAAATATCATTTTAACATATGTTTTCAACCCCAACCCCAATCCTTATCCCTCATTTTCAATGCTTCGTACCAAACAAGACCTTGGGATTTACTATGACTTCACAAGTGCTCAGATCAAACTTGTGGAAATAGTTGAAAATCTCAAGTGAGGAGCTTGAGGACTCTACATAGGCTCAAGGTAGGAATGCCAAACCAAGATAAATCATTGTTTGCACTTTCTCTATCTCTAATCTCTTTACATTTATAATTCGTGTATGAAGTATGTATGAGATTTTACTCAAAACAATGTTTCAGAAATAGTTTATACGGTTTCATATATGCTTTGATTCGGTTTGGTATGAAGCATTGAAAATAGAGGGTAAGAATTGGGATTGGGATTGAGATTCTCCAATCTCATATCTATAGGTTTGCCTAATCTCACATAACAAGCAATTACTTATATTTGAATTTTTTTTAATGGTTTTTCTCAATTCCAACCACAATCCCAATCCTTACCTCGTATTCTCAATGCTTCATACCAAACGAGACCTTTGAGTTTGTCAAAATAGTTCAAGCATTCTTGCAAACAGGATTCTAAACTTTGATTTGTTTATAATCTGACTTATACTCTGTTTTATTCTCAAAAGCTTTTGAAGATCCAAAAATTTCGTAAACATCCGATCCATCTCCCTTTTAGGTGTGTTGCCATTTCTATCAAATGTCACTTACAAATTTATAGTTATAAAGTTGCAAATCAAGAAATAAGAATATCAAATAATTAACTAGAAGATATAATATTTCTTACAAGTTAAAGTGTCCATTTTCCTTTACAAATAGATGAACTTCAATTGCAATTGATGGTTACGAAGTTAAAAGTCAAGGAACATGAGTATCAAAACACTAGAAGTCATAAAAACTATTCCTCTTCCTTCATAAGTAGACGAATCTCACTTGCAAATTAGAGAATGTAAGTATCAAATCATGAGAAATCATGGTATCTTTAACAAAGTTAAATGTTCCTTTTTCTTTCATAAATAGATAAAATTAACTTACAAATTAGTGGTTACAGAGTTGCAATAAGAGTATCAAACCATTGAAAAGAACTTTGATCCTTATTTTGATAATTACAGAAGACAGCCTTCTTAACTCGCAAACATCTGATATATAACAATGTATCCCATGTTCATATGCTAGATGATGCCACTACTTTTCATATAGATAAGAGGAATAATGGTTATGTTTGTAATTGCTGTACTCTCACTCTTCATCTCTGAATGAGACAACAGACGTACTAATGCATAGAATCAGTAATTTGATCCAGGAGAATCCCAAGTTTCTGGTATGATGTTGTGCAGTGAACAACAAACTTGTTGGCTTCCATTGTTGTAACATGTTAAACCATGTTCATCCGGCATCATCTCAATATGTTCATACTCCTGCATGATTTTTTCTATCCTCTCCAAAACTTCTTCCATGGTTGGTCGATCTCTAGGAAGACGTGACACGCACGAAAGGGCAATGTTCAGCGTGGGAAATGCCCATTCATATTCAGTTTCTTTAACTACCTTATCAAACAGCTCTCCTGTCCATTCCTCCCTCACCATAAATTGGGCCCATCTTGGTAGGTCTATGTTGTTTATTTCTATGCTTTTTCCTGTTAGTAGTTCGAGGAGAATCACACCGAAGCTATAAACATCACTTTTCTCTGTCAAACTATTTTCTGGAGCAGTGTATGCATGAGAGGAAAAGAAGAATGATCTGTTAGGGTGTAAGAATTTTGATATTCCATGCTCACTTATCAGAGGTTCATTGTGTTCATTAAGAAGGATATTTGACAGCTTGAGGTTCCCATGAGGAATAATCTCTCTTCCTTCTGTCTTCTGATGTATGAACCCTAAACCCCTTGCAATTCTAGCTGCTATAGACAGTCTCAGTTTCCATGGGAATTCTTTTTTACCTTGCATGTATTCTGTAGCAATAGGAGGAAAAATATATTTTTACGCTGAGCAAATGAATAATAGATTTCTGAAGTATATGTAATAATTGTCTGTCTGAGATCTGATAATTCTCTACTAATTTTTTACCTTCGGTTTTAAACTAATGAATTATTGGCATTAACATGTCATGAAAAGTTACTAGAACACCAAACTAATCAAAGTACTATATGCTTTAAGGTGCTTAATTATGATATGCTTCCATGATAGTCATGCTATCTTTAACATGAGAATGATATTGAAGATAAAGTACTATTTGAAGGACCAAATTGAGGAAAAGTGAGAACTTAAAATGCACATGTAAATATGTTTGAGCAGACACTTGAAAAACTGAAATTAATTAATTCAACTTACCTTTTAGAAGGCATAGCAGACTTCCATTGCTTTGATATTTGTAAATTAGGAGTTTTTCTTCACTGGTAGAGCGATAGCCAACAAGGGGAAGAATGTTTGGGTGTTTCAAGTTACTTACGTTCCTTAATGTTTTTCCAAATTCATCAGGGGATACCTGCAAATTCTTTAGCCTTTTTACTGCATAATGCATATTATTCTTCAGTATTACCTTGTACATGCTGCTGCAAAAGCTTTCACTTCTTATGTCGGCCGTGGCTTGAAGTAAGTCCTCCAGTGTGAACCTTTCATGCTCTTCAACAAAGAACACAAGCTCTGAATCTCTCTTCTTCAGCTTCACATCTTCTATAATGTCTTTTTTCGGCAAGGATGCCGAAGATTCTCCATGGGTTTTCATCTTCTCCATCTCTTCGTTTAACTTAGGTCCCTTCTTCAACAAAAAGAAAACAGCCAACACTAACAGTCCAACACCACCCAGTATTGGTGTTAGTTTTTTCCAATCCGTATACCATTTGTTGCTGGAACTGCCAGATTCACTGTTGGCAGGAGGAGTTGATTCTGATGTATCTTGCATCAGTTTCCTTAACCTTGACCCTTCACTTTTAAAAGTATTCCTCTTTGGTAGTCTTGAATCCTCAGAAAAATCATTGTTAGAGAAGTCCAATGTTCTGAGATATCTCAATTTTTTTAAGACTTTATTAGGTACCCTCCCACTCAACTGATTGCTCCTTAGATTTAGATGCACCAACCTTGTGCAGCGCAAAACTGAGTCAGGAACACTTTCCAGATATTGAAGCCGACAAGAGGAATCTGCATTGATTTTGCCATATTAGAGTTTGCATTAATCACATTTAAAGGCTAGTCACTCGCACCAAAATAGCTTAAGCTCTTTTGAAGTGATTGACCAGTTATAGAGTTGTGATTTATTCTCTAATCACTCAATGTGGGACCATCAGACATATAATATGCCATAGATCGAGGTTCATGTTGTGAAGGCTTATTTCTATGATACTGGAAGCATATGAGTTTCATCTTATGATAAAATTGAGATCAAGCAAGCATGGATGTAATGAAAAACCCACTTAGTTCATGTTAAGTGCATTTTGAGGATCATTAACTCTGATAAAACTGAAGAAAAATTCAGATTCTGAGAACTCACCTGCAAAAACGATGATAAAGAGAGGAAGAAGAAGAAGAATGCAATAAGCCAGGCTTTTCTCCATTTTCTGCTAGTGGGGTTCCTTCTTTTTTCATAACAAATTTCTTCACGAGTCAAAAACTGGAATCATACACTCCTCCTGCTGGCTTCTTTCTTTATGCAGTTGGATAAGGACAAAAGTTTTTTCATAGATTACAATGTTTGATTATCATATTCCTCTTGTTATTATCACTATATACGTCTTCATTGTCCATATGAAACATTCCAAAATAAAGAATGTTTCAGAACTTTGAGTGAAGCTCATTGGGCCACATCTGAAAAACACTTGGCTTTTAGATACGACTTGTGAAGCTCTCAAGAGGTGTCTAACTTTTCATTAACACCAAGGATAGGCTTTCGTTTGTTCTTTCTTTCTTTCTCTATGTGTGTAAGTACTCTTTTTTTTTTTTTTGGGCTTTTGGGATCTGCGGTAAAATTGATATGAATGGCGCTCTGAGACCTTGTAAGCAAGCACCAAGTAGCACGCCGTCCTTATACAGTAAGACTAGCACACAAGCATATCATTCTGGAGGGGAAAATATGAACCAAACAAGGCTTTGAGTGAGTTGAAGGGAAACTTGGGTTAATTTGAAGGTTTTCTTTTGAATTCTTAACTATTTACGTTATTAACCTGCACACACATATATAGGTGTTCATGAAGCCTAAAAACCCATAATACCCACCTAAGTCTATTAAAATTATGCTCAGTCTTGTCCCGAAAAAACAGCCTGAAAAATAGCTGGGCATCTTCAGGTGGGCCAAATGTCAAGTCATCGAGCAAGGTATGCCACTTTGTCCATTTGGCCCTACTCAAAGTTTATATATACAATTCAATTTAATATATAGTATGCATATATTCATTATATGTAATTGTATTAAATATATATGAATTAAATATTTCACGACTTAAATTGTTGACATATTTGATCATGGATTTGTGTAGAAAAATATCAAGTTGTGTTTGATCTTGTAATTATAACTTACTAGGGGATATGGAGTGAAAGATAAATATGTGGATTTGTAGTATAATGTTTACATTTCTTCTCTTAAAATATTTTAAGTTGTGGAATTATAAAATATACTTAAGTCCAAAATATTGAGTTCGGCTATGGAGGTCTTTACATAATATGAACAAGATGTTACCATTTGGGCAAAGACGCTTACCTTGCCTAGCCTAGCTCTGCCCAAAATTACTTAATCTTTTATCAAGCAGGGCAAGGTAGGGTAGTGTTTGGGTTGGACATCAGGTAAGGATCTAGCTCTGCCCAGCTAAACCCATGTGCAACCCAACTTACTATATTATCTAATTGCAATATATATATATATATATATATATATAAATTATTTGATGAACAGATTGGGTGGAATGAACTCTATAAGGAACGGCTGATGAGTCATTGGAAGTCGCGATCAGTCAAGACTGTTTTTTTTAAAAATAGATGTATGTTCAAGAGTAAACAACATCCTTATTTGCTATCATGATTGGAATCATTTATAAACACATTTCATGTAAGCCGAGACAAAATTCCTCTCACATATTTATATCGTATTCTATAAATCACGATTGAAAAACCACTTACAAGCTATTCCAAACGAGCCTGTTGCTCTTATAAGCTATTTCATCTTATAAGCTACTTATAATGATTGCAAAAATCTCTTAGATTTTTGTCGTGGTAGTGCTCCATTATTGGGTAACCTGTTGAACACAAAGCAGTGAGTTTCACCCTGTTGGAGTTGCTTTCTGCTCTTGATAGGTTGATAGGTCGGTTTATTTTAATTAGAATTTTTCTAATTAAAAAAAACATAGATTAAACCAGAATTTAATTATTGCTCAATATCATATTTATTGCGAGGTTGTTAGTTTAGGGAGGGAAGAAAGGAATATTCCTCATAGCGTGTGAAATATGTTGAAGGAAGTTTCCTAAAATATATCAGAAGTTACATCTTCCTTGTATTTTGTGGTTCTGACATGGTAAACTGAAAGTGTCTCCTTCAATTATTCCTCGCCTTTCTTTGTGCGTACTTATTGTGTCACCCCAGTTTAGATCCTAGTAGTCTAAACTTTGTATGAGCGTTAATTACCCAACCTGTAAAGTTTCGATGATCCAACCTAGACTAATTAAACTCAATACGTGTTCTCTCCTCTCTTTTATTTTATTTTTCTAACATATCCTCTTCATTTTCCCACTACACATGCACGCATACATACATAGCTGAGAAGGTTGTGTTGTGATGGGCTGGTCCACCCAAGGTTTTAAGATTAGGTTTCTTATTCAACCCATAAGCATCCTAATTCATGCTTCATTCATATGAACTAAATTGTAAATGTATAAGTAAGTTGCACTACAATTTATTTGGTTTAATAATGATCAATGTCTCGCCATAGAGATTAATTTAGCCGGTATGAATAATCCATGCATATTATTCATAACTTATAAATAGTGTAATTCTTTGTAGATTTTATTTCCGGAACTAAACCACGATAAAGGGAGGTTATCATTTTTTTATCCGGTGCCAATATACTTGATGTTAACAAAAGATATCTTTTATAGAAAGATTGGCCAGAGATTTATATAAGAAATTTTCATCTTATACCCCTAAGAAAATTATTTCTAAACCCCTCCCACCAAACATTTTTAATATCTATTTACTCTACTTAACATTTTTAATATCTAATGCTTAGATATTTAGGAAAAAAACTTGAGACATTGTAATTAATTAATTAATTAATTGAACTCCTCTAACTAATGACTTTTATTAAGGGTAATTTTAATATTTCACAAAAAAAATTATAATTAAGATTGCTTGGGCCTCTTTTCTTTAATTAGTATATGCTCTCTCCTATTAAAGACAATTTTCGGGGCACTGTGAAGCCTTAAATGCAGGTGCCCTTTATTGTGGACGTTCGAACTTCGAACTATAGTGCGTTTAGTTTAGTTTAATGTTTTAATACAATTTGGGCCTCGTTTGCACTGAGTTTTGTCTGGTGTGATGCAGTATGGCAAAGTTTATTCTGTATCATTTGATCTTGTGAATAAATTGACCTAGTTGTCAACAAGACCCAGTCCACTTAATAAAATATTAGTTCATAATCACATAGTCATGAGTTTAAATCTTGTTACTGATATAATAACCTTATTAGTGAGTAATCCGTTAGTAACTCTATAAGCATTATATAAACCTAGAGGCATGCCTTGGTCTGATGAACTCCTGGGACCTAACTGACATAAACTTTTTTTTAGCAAAAATAAATAAATTAATTGATAAAGCTCAATTTTTATATATTTTATCCCACATTAATTTATGATTTAAATGATAATTTTGAGCTCAAATAGATTTTTATGCATTATTGAATTAATTAGTTGATTTTTGGATTTTTCATAAAAATTGAGGTTTTGATTGAAAATATCAATATTTTGTAATTTCCTATTTTCAGCTTGGAATAAATTTTTCCGATTTCTTTGGAAACAATTCTCATATTTTTAGAAAAATTGATTTTTGGAGAGTTTTGCAATTTCTAGCCTTATTTTTATGCATATCTAATATTTAATTTTGATATATATTATATTATGTTTGGATATAATCTACATTAATGGATGCATTTAAATTCTTATAGGTCAAGAAATAGCATATAGGAAATCCAATGATGTAAGATTATTTTTTGTAATTCAAGTATAATCTAATGGCTAATATTAAGTGGGTCAATTAAATTAATTAAATTAACGGGCTTAAGCTTTGGATCCAGAAAATTTTCTTTTCTCCCTTTAAAATATTTCTCTTATTTGAGAGCCAGGATTCACGCCTAATATCACTTTTCCTTCTCCATTCACACCCACGGGCATCATCCAACGTCAAATCTCTTCCTTCACCACTGTCCCTCTAGTCTCACGCCCTCTCATAATTCTTTCATTCCATTCCATAGTCACACAGCAACGTCCATTCTCATCAATTATATTGCTCCACGCGTACTTCACCCATAACTTGAATCATCCACCCTGTGTCACATGTCTGTGAATTGAAGCAAGAAGCTTGGAGGAGGAGATATGTTGATGGAAGCTTAAGGTTGTTAGGGAGACAACTTGAGAGGTGGAAGCTTAAGCTTGTTAGGGAGATAACTTGGAAGAAGCATGAATGAGACTTAAGCCTTAGGCTAACACTTGAAGATCACAAGGGAGTGATGTTCCATTTATATTTTTAATTCAAAGATTTGAAATTATTTAGTTTTAAATAATTTTGAGTTGTATTTTTCTGAGACAATTTAATTCTAGATTGTCATCTTTATGCTTAGATTAGATTGATATTTGGTTTTTATTTGTGTTAAGACACTTGCTGGAATATATGTTTATAAACCTTTGTGTTGTTAATTGAATTTATAATTAAGTTTTTATTATGGATTTAATTATCAATGTGGTTTGAATTGCAAAATTGGGTTCTTTTGCCTCTTCATTGTTTAATTAAGTTGGTAAATTATCTAATGGTTTAATTGGATAATCCTAAACATAATTTCTAGAATTAATTTGAATTGTTTGCCATTGGTCTTAATGAGTTTAATTAACCAATCTTATATCATTATGAGTTCTCTAATGGTTTAAGGATTTTTGAAATTGAGGATTCCTTTTATTTCAAATAGGTAATTAGACTTATTAATTTCACTCTCTTATCACTTCCCTTTGGTCTAATTAACTGATTAAGGTTATGAAGGTTAAATCCATGCGAATCTTAAGTTGCTCCCTCTACCGTACCTAAAGAGAAACTTCTCAATTTTACCTAGTTAATTTTATTTATTTATCATTTTAATTTTTCTTTCTAAAAAAATCCCCCCAAAAAATTGCATTTGCATTCATTTAGTTTAATTTAATTTTCATATAGATTTTAGGACATTTGTATTTTGCATTTAAAATTAGAATTTTGCATTTTAGTTTAGATCCAATTTATTGCATTTTTCATCACCTAAATTTTTAAATAAAGAAACCCATAACTTGCTCCTTGGAAGTAATGGACCTAGATTGATCCTAAACTACAAATTAATTGGAACCTAATTTAATTGAGTGCTTTAATGATAGAGGCATCATCATTAACCTATTTTTTTAAAAAAAACAATAATGATATATTATCTAATTTAAAATTTTACTAATTCATCAACTTTGAAAGTGTATATTTAGTCATCTAATTTTATACAAAATTTCAATCTAATCCTTTTATTTTATAAAGTCTCTTTTTAGTCATTTAACCCCAACACTATTAACCACAAATGATGTTTATACTAGTTATTATTATTTTCAAATAATAAACATAATATATGAACATTTGATAATATTTTATTAATATTTAAAATTTTAATAGTGATATTTTTTAAATAAAAACCATTAATGGTGTTAATTAGAATTAGAGGATTGAAAAAAAAACACCTCACGAAATTAAGGATTAAGATGAAATTTTTTTATAAAATTAAATGACTAAAAATATATTTTTTGCTATTAAAAAGGGTGATTCTTATTGTTATATCTGATAAGTAATTATTTCTTTACTAAAGAGTCCGAAGAGAGAAACCACATATAAAGTGCCGAAAAAACATTATGAAGTCCAGAACTATGAAGCAACAAGACCCTTCATGTTCAAACTTCAAAAATGCTTTGTTGCTTTTACGTCCTTTAAGTCCAAACTTCAAAATTCTGATGGTTTAAAGAAAAATCATCAGACAATTTGAACCCAAAAGACCCAAAAGAAAAAGAAAAAGAAAAGAAAAGAAAAGAAAAGAAAAGCGGGGTAATCTTTTCTTTTAGAAAAAGACTTAGATCTAATTGCTTATATTCATTATATATCAAGTTCTCCTATCACAAATAGCCATGTGTACTTTTTTTTATGTGGATTTATAATTAAATAGTATTAAATACTAATATTTTAAAAATAGTATATTTGTATGAGGACTTTGTTAGTGAGTCATCTGTAAGTACTTTTATGAACATTTTTTAAACCTAGAAGCATGCCTTGGTCATGTGAACTCCTGGGACTTAACTCATTTAAACTATTTTTAGCAAAAATAAATAATTTAACCTAGTTTTTATTTAAAAAAACAATAATGATAAATTATCTAATTTAAAAATTTACTAATTCATCAACTATGAAAGTGTATATTTAGTCATCTAATTTTATACAAAATTTCAATATAATCCTTTAATTTTATAAAAGGAAAATGGCAAATAAAGACTCTCAATATATGAAATTGCAATTTGAGACCTTTAATTTGGAAAATGGCAAATAAAAACCCCGTCTCATATTGCAAATATGAAATCTTAGTGAAATGTCTGAAATGTTCCTCAGTCAAGTTGTGATTTGGTCTATTGAAGTTGTCATTCACTAAAGTGAACTTGTCATTTCCCATAGTCAACTCATCAATTGGTCGAGGGGCATTTTAGATATTTCACCAAGATTTCATATTTAAAATATGAGACTGGGTTTTTATTTGTCATTTTCCAAATTGAGGGTCCCAAATCACAATTTTATATATTGGGGGTTTTTTTGGCCATTTTCCCTTTGTAAAATATCTTTTCAGTTATTTAACCTCAACACTATTAATCACAAATGATTATTGTTTATGCTAGTTATTATTATTTTTAAATAATAAACATAATATATGAAGATTTGATAATATTTTATTAATATTTAAAATTTTAATAGTGACATTTTTTTAATAAAAACCATTAATGGTGTTAGAATTAGAGGATTGAAAAAACACTTTACAAAATTAAGGACTAAGATGAAATTGTTTTATAAAATTAGATGACCAAAATATATTTTTGCTTCTAAAAAGGATTATTCTTATTGTTATTTCTTAGGAAAAATGGCAAATAAAGACCTCCCAATATATAAAATTATGATTTGGGACCCTTAATTTGAAAAATAACAAATAAAGACTCGGTCCCATATTGCAAATATGAAATCTTGGTAAAATGTCTGAAATGTCCCTCATCCAAGTTGTGATTTGATCTATTAAAGTTATCATTTGCTAAAGTGAACTTGTCATTTTCCATAGTCAACTTGTCATTTAATATACCCTTAGTCAAGTTGTGATTTAGTCTACTGAAGTTGTCATTCGCTAAAGTGAACTTGTCATTTCTTATAGTCAACTTGTCATTTGACCGAAGGGCATTTCAGACATTTCATCAAGATTTCATAATTACTATATAGAACTGGGTCTTTATTTGCTAGTTTCCAAATTAAGGGTCCCATATCACAATTTCATATATTGGAGGGTTTTTATTTGCCATTTTTCCTATTTCTTAATATTGATTTTGATATCTGATAAATAATTATTTCTTTACTAAAGAGTCCGAAGAGAGAAACCACATATAAAGGCCCCCCAAAAAAAAAAAGAAAAAGTCCAGAAATATGAAGCAACAAGACCCTTCTTGTTCAAACTTAAAAAAATGCTTTGTCGCTTTTATGTCCTTCAAGTTCAAGCTTCAAAATTCTGACCGTTTAAAGAAAAATCATCATACAGTTTGAATCCAAAAGACCCAAAAGAAAAAGAAAAGAAAAGTGGGGTATTATTTTTTTTAGAGAAAGACTTGACCAAATTACTTATATGTATTATATCAAGTTCTCTTATAACAGATCGTCATGTGTTCTTTTTTTTCATGTGAATTTATAATTTAATACTATTAAATACTAATATTTTAAAAATAGAACATATGGTTATATGTAATTAAAGAACTTCACCTAATCATTCATCCAAAAAAAAAAAAAACTTCACCTCATCAACATAAACAACTTGAAATAAATATTATTCCTTTTGTCCTGCTTAGCCTTCTAATTCTTTTCCGCAAGCAAGCAAGGTATTTTTATGATTTATTTAAATATATATATATAAATTCATCACAGAACTGTCTGTCCTAATTCCCATACTCGCTGCTGCTTCATCTGATCTTCTTCTCCGTTGCTTACAATGAAGGTGGCTCTGGATTCGAATCTTGAAAGAGGCAAATCTCCGACCGCCAAAGCGACGGTCACCGTCCCTGCCGGAGACGTCAAGCTTCGAGCAACAGTTACAGATGCCTCTATCTTAAGCAAAGGTCCCTGTTTAGAAGGAGTGGTTCTGGCTCTCGAGAAACCTGACGCCTTTGTCGTTGACTACCATGTTCTGAAACGGGTATGTACTGTGTGTATATATATAATATCTCCAGTTCTAAATATAAAAATTAATTAGGAGTTGAATTTGGTTTTAAATACAAGATCTCAATTCATTTTATCTTCTAAATTTATAATATTTTTTTCAAAATATACAAGAGGTTTTCACCAGAAGCTAATTCTACTGTATATGATTAAATAAGATAATTTAAAAAAATCAATATATATTTGTTATAAATAACCAATTTAATTTTTTAATGTGCTCAAATAGTTATCTGGTTTTTATACTAAAAACCGGAAATGATATACATACACACATATATATATAATTTTCACTAAATTTGAGCATATTTTCTGGTAGCTTCAATGACATGTGCAGATTGTTACATGTATTTTACCCCATAAAAGGAAAAAATGTTAATTTTAAATGTTTTATTTTGAAAAACAGAGTGTTTCAGTTTGCTCTCTGTTTAGACATTTTGTTGACAGTGATTTATTGAGAAGTGATGGATATGGCTTTTTGACCAATTTTACTAATTCAAATTATACGGATGCTTTAGATAATGAATTATGACTTGACTAGCTAGTAGCAAAGACGAGAAAATTAAATAAATTAGTTAATTATTATATATATAATATGATTTTTTTAAAACAATATTTTTATACATTATTAGATCATATCAAAAAGGACAGATGAAGTATAAATCATACAGAAACCCATCTTTTTACCATCTTTTTACCATCTTCCTCTAGTTCTATTCACAAAGCATAGAAAGAAAGAATTTTTTAATTATATTTATCACTCACATCATGAAATTTTTTATATAATGTACAATTTTATCTTTTATTTTTTATTGTTTTAAATTTGTTTCTCATGGAGTATGATGTATACAAAATAGAAATAATATTAGAAAGTTATTAAATTTTAAAGTAAAGTTAATAAAATGTAAAAAAATTTTGATAAAAAAATTAAGTTTAAGGTTTTTATTGATTGAAACATGTTGGAAATAATTTTTAAATAGGACAATAAGAGTATATGCAATGAGCAGCCACTCTCATATCTGCCATAAAATTTGAGCTCATATTTTCTAATTCATATTTTTTTTGGATTAGTATAATTTTTTGTCCCTAAAACTTAACTTCATTTCGGTTTTTGCTCCTGAAACTTAAAAACAAATAATTTTAGGGCCTGTTTGGGTATCCCCCAAAATTATGATTTGGGAGGCAAAACCATAGTTTCGACGGGATGTTACCCAAACAGCATCAATTATGGAGCAGAAAACCATAGTTTCAAGAGAAGTGAATTTATTTTGCTTCTGGCTCAAATTGGAGAATATGACTGTGTCTGTCAAAATAGATCTCAACAATAATATGACTTTAATACCCCTCAATTATTTTTTATAAAGATATTTAATCTTATATCTTATAAGTATATATACACATATTAATTATATTATCTTATGTATTATTAATTATATTGGTAAAAAATATATTATTAACAATTTTATTCCTTTAAATTAAAATATATCATAAAATCTATCTTTTATGTAATTATCATATTAACTTATACTTTTTTTAGTAATTTGTATATATAAAAAGTGCTTCTGATAACAACCATCCAAACACTCTCATTTCTCAAAATCACTTTTTCACAAAATCTATTATCTCCAGAATCAATTTTCCAGGATCTATTTTCCAAATCACAGTTTGGTTTCATCCAAACACCCTTTTAGTTCCTGAAATTTGAAACAAATGGTTTTGATCTGTGAAATTTAACTTTAGTTTGATTTTGATCCTTGTTTTAAGGGCCAACAATCTTAAAGGACCAACATAAAATCAAATTTTAAAAATTAAAACCACTAGTTTAAAATTTCAGTGACCAAAACTAAATGTGAGATCAAATTTTAACAACAAAAACTACTGATTTCAAATTTTAAAGACTAAAATCAAAATAAAATCAAATTTTGAGGACTGAAAGTAGTATTGAACCCCTTTTTTCTAATCATTTGTGGTGACAACAACGCAATACGCGGGGCCTAAATTTAATTTCATAAAGGATGGGATTACCTCTAGAAATGTGGGTAAATGGTCATGTTTTGAAATTATAAAAAAAAAATTGTTGTAAATGGCGCTGATGAAATAGTAAAACTCGGTAATAATGTAGTTCATGCTGTTAGTAGTATAGGGCCCTTAGTTTTAATTGATTTTTCAAGTATGAAAATTGTTTTTAAAAAAAGTTGATGTAAATAGCGTTAATGAAATAATGAAACTCGGTAAAATTGTTGACAGTGCTATTAGTAGTGTGGTAAATGATTTTTAACAAGGCCCTTTATTTTGATCTTTTTTTCAAGAGTTGGAATTATAAAAACATCTAGTCGATGATGTTAACAAAGTTGTGAAATTCAGTAAAAATGTTAACAATACCGTTAGTAGTATCATAAATTAAGAGGACCCTTTCAAAGTGTTGAATTTAAAAAAGTAATTGTAAAGGGTGTTAACGAATAGTAAAACTTGGTGAAAGTGTTGTCAATGCCGCTAATAGTGGGGTAAATAATTTTTAATAATTTACCACACCATATTACTTTTACAATTTTGCATTATATTAAAAAGAGCTTTGATGGTTCATTGGTTAGACCATTGACTAGTGGTTGGCCAATACTTGGTACTCTTCCGGTCCTAAATATAAGACTCATTTTATAGTGTAATTTGCACTATAAAATGGGTCTTATATTTAAAATTGGAAAAGTATTTCATATGAGAGTTTTTTTCCCCCTAAAAGCAAGGGGTAAAATTTTAAATGCACCAACATTTTGAAATGCCTTTTTGGTACAAGTGACCAATTTAGGATTTTTCTTATTACAGTCCCTTTTCAATGGTATTTTATTGGTCTTCTTTTAAAAAAACAATTTAAAAGATGCGGGGTGTCTCTCATATAGCCTCTATAGGATTAATTTCTTCTACGCTGAATATGGTTTCTTTATCGGCCTCTGCATGCAGGATTGTCATTTCAAGTTCATGAACACAATTAGTGTTTTAGAGAAGCCATTGAAACTTACATACGGACATGAATGGTGCAAAAAAGGCACAGATTTACAAGGAACATTGGAATTGGATGAAGATAATAAGGTTTCCGCAGATTGCACGCTGGGCTCCAAAAATAACAATAAGTACAAGTTGAAGTACACTTACAATCACAAGGGACTCACCAAAGTGAGCTCTTCATACGAAGTGATTAGCGATTCTTGGGATCTTGCAGTTTCTCAGAAACTTCTTGATATTCACACGCTTGAAGCATCCTACAAGGCATCAGACAACAATCTGGGCCTTGGGTGGGCGCTTGCTTCAAAGCACAACGGTACTTTCAAGGTAAGTGCGCGCGTGTATATATATGTGCATGTGTACTAATTTGCATCCTTAATATAAGAGCTAATTAATTAATTTAAGTAAATTAAAAAAGTTTATTAAGTTAGTTATTTATCATAAATAGGTATTATCTTTCTTAAAACATCCTTTCTAATCATATATATTAGCTAGAACTATTATTTGATGAGACATTTGACATGTGTAACTGCTACAATGACTACTTTGCAGAAAATAAATAAATATAAGAGACAAAGTGAATTAGGATCCTATATTTAAGATCAAATTAAATTTCAAAGTAACTCTTATAATAAGGATCAGAAATAGTATTCTTTTATTATTTGTTTGTTTTAATTTGTTGGAATAACGAAACTACTTTTCTCCTTGTTTTATGTGATTTAAGGATATTTAGGATAGAGTTTAAATCAAAAATAATCTGTCTGCTTCTTTTTCATAATTAGGTAAAGGTATGTTTTTAGTTATATGATTTTATAGGAGTTTTCAATTTGATTTTTTAATTTTATAAAGTGTAAGGGCAAAAGTAAAGACTCATTAAAAGAATGGGATCATATGGACAAGTTTAGATTTTTGTCCATATAATTTTAATGAGTTTTGATTTTGATTCTCATACTTAATAGCATTAACTAAGATCAAGCCTTTATGAAACTTTAGAGAGCAAAAACTACGATTTGAAATGAAAGTAGTGGGATCAAAATCAAAATTCTATCAAACTTTAGAGATCCACTATAATAAAAAGATTATAAATTTAGGAAACAAAGTATTTTTTTAATAATGTCTCGGACAATAATATATATGAACTATTTGACTTATTAAATTATTTTTGTCATTTGTGTTTCAAATTAAAAGACTTCGTACCACACATCGAGCAAGATCCTTGGGTTGAAATGGTTGCTGGCTTCAAAGCCCCATGGAAGTTTCGAGGTGAATTAATAGTGATTTCTCCCGTTTATTATTTAATGATTTTGGAACAAACATTTTTGCACTATTTTTTCTTTTGACTTCTCAATTATTGGGCTTTTGTGTTTCAGATCAATGCATCTTTAAACTTGGGGGAGAAATCGAGAGTTCCCAATGTTAGTGCCAAAACCACTTTCCATTTGGAGATATAGAGCTCATTTGGATTGATGGTATAAAAAATAACTTATTTTTAATCTGATTTTTAAAAAAGTAAGATTGAGTAAAAGTTAGATTAGATAAAAAAAATTGCACAAAAAGACATTGGAAATAGAAAAATTGCAAATAGGGACCCATTACAATATTAATGTGGGTTTTGATAACAATTGATGAGCAAATGATAACAATTTTTGTGAACGGGCTCCTGTATGTAATTTTTCAATTTTCAAAATCTTTTTTTTAGCGATTTTTTAGATTAGATAATGTGATTTATGTTTGGAATGACTTTTATAAATAAGTTAGTTTGTAAACGTAAAAGTTGTTTGAATTATGGTTAAATAAGTAAATTGAGATTGTAAAATTACAAAATGTGTATGATTTTTATTAAATAATGAAAAACAATTTACATAATATAATAATTTAAAATTATTTTAATGTGAAGAAGTTAAATTTAATGACTAAAATATAATTAAAAAATTAGAAACATTATAAAGAATAATTTATGCAAATATAAAATGAAAAATAATTTTAAAAAATTAAAAATATTATAAGAAAAAACTACATCAAATTAGTGACAGATAGTTTCAGACGCAGCAAATAAGGGACAAGCAAGAAGAGATAAAAGAAACGAAAGAAGTGAAATACATGTGCTGACAAAGAAGCACACAATCACACGATTTAAAAGCAAAAAATAGGTGGAGGTTGCTTCTTACAAACGCATGAAATTAAGCAACTTTTGATTCAAAAGCCAAATAGACAAAAAGTTGCTCCAAACACGAGAGATTACTCAATTATGCTTAAATTCCATAAGTAGCTTATAAATGGCCGTCGCCACTAACCCAACAGAGCAATAATCTCTATTTCCAATTATTTTTCTACTCTACTCTGTCTCTCTACTTATTTAATATTACCTCCAGTCCTAATTATAAGACTTTATTTATAGACTACAAACAATATCTTATAATTAATACTTGACATAGTATTTTGAAAGTCACCTAATGGCAATCATGTGTTATTAATAGTGTGACTTATTCCTGAAAGTTTATTTAATACATCATAGAATCATTTAACTTCTCGTTTGAACAATATGCCATATTCATATGATTTTATTTAGGAAAAATCCATTAAAAGACACTTAAATAACCCAAATTTTTATTTATGTTATTAAATTTATCAAACTCCTAATTAGATCATATGACTTAAAGAGAAATTTTAAAATTAGAAACTAAAAGAGAATTCTAAATTAACACATTATATTCCATAGTTAACACATTTTAATTCTAAATTAATAATTTTCTGTCTCCATAACATACTTATTATAGGTTTTTGAATAAAATCTTATCACAATATAATCTTGAAAAGTAACGTGTTATATTTCATAATTAACATGTTTCAATTATAAATTAACAAGTTTTTGTCTCTAAAATATACTTGTAATAAGTTTTTGAATAAAAAAATGATCACGATACAATTTCAAACTTAACAAGTTCAATTACATGATTAACACATTTTAATTTTAAATTAACAACTTCAAAAGAAACAGAATATTCTCATTTCTCTAAGTTTCTAGTGAAAAGGATATTAGAGTCATTTTATAAAATTTTTAAATCCCTCTTTAGGTTATGTGACGTAATTAGGGATTCGATAAATTCAATAACCCAAACAAAATTTTGGGTTACTTAAGTATCTTTTTAAAGAATTTTTTTTATTTATAAGTCACTTTTAACATAATTTACAATAATCAAAAAATATTTTAAACCTCATTAATTTCATTTTAAAATTTAATAAGTTTTCAATGTCCCCATATTAAATATACACATTCTATTCCAAGTGTACAAAGTTTATACAAGGATATATGAAAGATAAAAATGTACATTCATATGAAAAGTTTAATGATGTAATTTATAAATATGACAAAAAAATTCATTCTGCCTGATAAATGGGACAAGAGAAGGAAAATTTTTTTTATTATCCTCTTGTAAGTCATTTTGTTCAATACTTGAATAAATTAATAACTTTTTCTAATAATGCCATTGATATGGATATTGCTGGATAATTATGATGGAGGGAACGATATTGATATAGTTAATCAAGAATTTATATTTAATTAATATAATTTTTTCATCGGCAACTAATGTTAACTAACTAACTAATTATGTTTATGCCAATTAGTTAAGTTTGATTTATTAATAGGAACAGAAGTTAACTAGCTAACTCTGTGCGTGTGTGCGCGCGCGTGTGCCGCCTCTCATAGACACACATGTTGACAGACATATTCAACATAATAAATCAATAGACCTGGGAACGCAGTTTTGTAGCTCTTATTAACACTACAATTGATGGCCCCAAAAAAAAAAAAAAAAACTATGATGGTGTTTTGTATATATTAAATAGAATATGTAGTTATAATGGTATATATTCATAATTTATTGAATAATGATGCAAGAGAGATTGGATTGAGAATGAAGGGCTAGAGAAAGTGTTCAACCGTAGAGATTAAAGAAGGAAGTGAAGGTTTCATATTGCAGCTGTTGAAGTTACATGTTTTTGTTTCTTTGTTTTTTTCTTTTTGGCAAATATATTTATGAGCAAAGATTCTACCAATATCTCAATTAAATTTACTCAATATACAAAGATATATCAAAGCCTCGACCAATTAAAACTGTTTTGTTCAAGTTACGTGTTTTGATCCATTGATTTCACTGAGGACGATGTAAATGGGTTGCAAAAGAGCACCACTCAAAGTCGCATGGTAAGAATCTATGGATGGAGTTTCTAAATAATAGATACATGGTGCGCAATGAAGAAAGCTTGCTCGCTGTCCAGAAAGGCGATTAGAAAATCTGGCGGTTTATTTGTCATCAAAGGGAAATTATTGAAGAAGGAACCAGATGGAGACTACGGAATGGGAAGCTCATAAATTGCTTTAATGATAACTGGCTCTTCCATAATCAAAAATTAAAGAATATGTGTGTGAAGGAAATTGCAGCAGAAGAAACTGAAATCTCTGTTGCAGATTGCGCGGTAAATGGAGTTTGGGATTTTCAGAAACTTCAAAAGATGGTGAATAGGGATGTCCTACAGCGTTTAGCTAGCCTTCTACCTCCTTGTGAGGAATCCGGAAATGATATCATGGTTTGGAATGCTACTCCTGACGGCAAATTCAGTATTAGAAGTGCATATTTCCTGATTGAGGAAAATCCTATCAACCAATGTAATCCCATTTACAAACGCATCTGGAAGTGGAAAGGTGTAGAGAGGATCCGAGTGTTCCTTTGGAGATCTTTTAATGATAGACTCCCTACTAATGCTTGGAGAAGCAGCTGGTCACAGGTATCGACAATCTGTCCTCACTGTAATGCTGAAACGGAAACTGTTTTGCACATCTTGATTGATTGTGATTATGCAAAGTCCTTGTGGCTTGGTGTGTTAAAGCAAAGGTACTTAGTACCCTCTTCAAGATTGGATTGCTGCCAATTTGACACATGATTTAGGAAAATCTGGAATTGATGATTGGGAATGTTTATGGGGTGTAGCTATTTGGAAATTTTGGAGTTGGCGAAATGAGGCTATTTTTTCTGAAAGCTTTGAGAAACCTCATCAACTAGCGCAGGTGATTTTGAATATATGGTAGCATTATTCTCGGCAGCGGGCTATTGTCAAACCTGTGGAAAAGAATGGCATTAGTTTGAGTTGGCAGTGGGCTCCCTCACCAATAGGCTGGATTAAGATCAACGTGGATGGAGCTATGGCAAAAAAATTCTTGTCCGGCAGGATGTGGAGGTGTGTTTGGGAATCACAATGGAAACTGGATAGCCGGTTTTACCTATAAGATTGGGAAATGCAGTGCACAAGAGGCGGAGAAATGGGCCATTTATAAAGGTCTTCATATTGCTTGGCAATTTGGGTTTAGACAGATTATGATTGAATCAGATGTAAAGGTTGCTATCGATCTGTTACTGGATGGAAAGCCTTACAACAACAGTAGTTTAATGATCAGACAAATCCGGAGTATGCTCCAGTACAACTGAGATATCATTCGTCAACAGACTCCCAAACAAAGCAATAGAGTTGTTGATGCTCTACCTAAAAAAGGGATACTAAATCCTCATTTTTTGATATTTGCCCAGCTATCTCGGGACAATTGTGGAAGCAGACTGTGGGAACTAGTCCCCATTTAGTCTAACCTTTCTTTTTGGACCTTAGCCCTCGTTTGTTACCAAAAAAAAAAAAAAAGGACCATGACTTTTCCATGATATTAAAATTTAACTCACATCGTTTGGTTATATTAGTAAATCAGTCCTCTTATTCATTTGGTCAAAAGTTTTGAATAAGTTGATTGATTTTTTTCCTCTTGCTCAACTTGAAATAACATCGTTTTGAGTTGAGAAAGTGGAAGTCCATCAATTTGTGTTTCAATCACTTTGTTTTGTTGAATTACTTGTATACTAATTTTTTTTATGTATATTTTAACTTTTCATTATATATTTTTTGTATATTTTAATTAATAGGGTGTTTGAGTAAAATCAACATCATAATTTCAGAAGTACTTTTACGGTATACAAAGTAAATATGTAGAGTAATTTGTCTCAATTTGAGGAAAAGTGCTTATTGGGTTACCCAAACACCCCCTACATCATGTTAATTTGTTCAGGATTGAGTTGATCATAGTTTAACCACAATTAGACTACTAACTATGGAATCATTGTTTTGACTAATTTAATTATCGATCCAATTTTTAATATCCTAAGTCCTAGTAACACAGTGGAATTTGAATATGACATTCAAACATAACTATCCTAGGGTTAGGAAATTTGTATCACCCAAATTCTAAGTGCCCAAAATTGTAACATTGTGAATTTTGGATCTAGAAATATAAGAATTAGCTTGAAATGAGAAGACTAATAGACTTCTTGTGGCAACAGTCCCGGAGGTTCTCTGAAGGGACAGAGGGATTCCCAAGAACTAAATCGCAAAAAGAAAATTTTCTGGAACTGAGATAAGAGGAAGTTAGATACTCTGGTGAAGTCTTGAGCCCTAAGAATAATAAATAAAGATGAATGTAGGCTAAAAGT